CAGTCTCTCTCTCTAAAATCTTCAAATCAGGCAAGAAATCTAGGGGTAATAATGGACTCAGACTTGAACTTTAACAGCCACATCAAATCAATAACATCTGCAGCCTTTTACCATCTAAAAAACATAGCAAAAATCAAAGGTTTACTGTCTAAATCAGACTTGGAGAAACTTATCCATGCGTTTGTCTCCAGTAGGTTAGATACTGTAATGGTCTGCTCACTGGTCTCTCCAAACGAGCTGTGAGACGCTGCAGAACATCCAGAACATCCAGAACATCCAGAACGCTGCAGCTCGGGTCCTTACTCGAACTAGGAAGTACGAGCACATAAGTCCTGTGCTCAGGTCTCTGCACTGGCTTCTGTAGCTCAGAGAATAGACTTTAAAGCAGCTCTGCTTGTACAAGTCTCTCCATGGCCGAGCACCAAAGTCCATCTGTGACATGTTAGTGTCATATGAACCATCTCACACTCTGAGGACCTCAGGGACCGGCCTCCTGCTGGTGCCCAGAGTCAGGACTAAACAAGGGGAGTCAGGGTTTCAGGTTCATGCAGCTAAAACCTGGAACAGTCTTCCTGAACACGTGAGACAGACTCTTCTGTGACGCTGTTTAAATCCAGGGTCAAAACATTTCTGTTTGACTGTGCATATAACTGAACGGTTTTCATTCCACACTCTTCTCTCCAATTTATGTCTCTCTTTTTTAATTTTAATCTTTATGATTATTTATGTTTTGATTCGTTTTTATTATGATTTTAATGTATTTCTTATTCTGTAAAGCACTTTGAATTACTTTGTGCACAAATTGTGCTATACAAATAAACTTGCCTTGCCTTGTCTATATTCACACCTTTTGGCATTGCACACTCATCAGGCACTTCTGAGAAGAAATCACGGACTCAATATCCCATTTATGGGTTGTTGCATCCTCATGTCCCCCTCACTCTGCCCTCTAGGAGACCTTTCAATAATCACAATAGATGACACAAACAGCCCTAACTATCGCCAAGAAAACTATCCTCATGAACTGGAAATCAAGGCATAGCATGACGCATTGGAAAAACCTGCTCATTGACCATATCTCTCTGGAATACAAATCTACCTCCCCCGTCAACAATCACCCCCAATCACCCTGGTCCACCTTTCCTCAATTTCCTACAAATGCAATTTCTATGATTTAACATATTTGATTATTCATCTCCTTGTTCCTTAACTTTTTTCTTTGTCTGGTAGGTAAATCCGTGTATCATTCGTTCATTCGTTTTTCAATATAAAACCAAAAGTAAGAAAAAAAACAACTGTTTTCTTCATTATTTGTCTTTAAATCCAAAATGAAAAAATGGATAATGATGAATTTTTTTCAGTTTTCGTTTAAATGAAGAATGGAAAAAACAGTTAACGGCCATTTACATGACTTCTGTGACTGCGATGCCGAAATTTTCCACCATATATGGACTGAACCAGGACTGATCCAGGTCCGGGACCAGACCGGGACTCAGACCGGGACTGAGACCGAGACCAGACCAGGACCAGGTAGGGACCAGACCGGGACCAGAGAGGAACCAGAGTGGAACCAGAGTGGACTCCGAGCTTTGACTCCGAGCCCCTGCAGGGTTCAAGCCTCAGCTTCGAGTTCCGGACCAGCCGTGGGCTGGTCTCGGTCTCAGTCCCGGTCTGGTCCCGGTCTGGTCCCGGCCTGGTCCCGGCCTGTCCCGGCCTGGTCTTGGTCTCAGTCTCGGTCTCAGTCCCGGTCTGGTCCCGGCCTGGTCCCGGCCTGGTCCCGGCCTGGTCTCTGTCTCAGTCCCGTTCTGGTCCAGGTCTGGTCTGGTCTCAGTCTCGGTCTGGTCCTGGTCTCAATTCTGATCTCAGTCTAGGTCTGGTCCTGGTCTGGTCCCGGTCTGGTCCCAGTCTGGTCTCCCTCTGGTCCCAGCCTGATCCCAGCCTGGTCTCGGTCTCGGTCCCGCTCTGGTCCAGGTCTGGTCCAGGTCTGGTCTGATCTCAGTCCCGGTCTGGTCCCGGTCTGGTCTCAGTCTGGTCCCAGTCTGGTCCCGGACCTGGATCAGTCCTTGTTCAGTCCGTATGCAGTGCAAAAGTCCAGCATCGCAGTCACTGAAGTCACGTAAACGGGAAACGGTCATTATCCGTTTTTCCATTCTTCATTTAAACACAAAATCGAAAACTGAAAAAATGAATCGATCTTTTCATTTTGGTTTAGGAGACTAACAATGAAGAAAACTGTTGTTTTTTCATTTTCTTATTTTTGGTTTTATATTGAAAAACGAATGGACGAATGATACATGGATTTAGGTAACCACTTTCTACTCGAAATTTAAATACATGATGATGTCCTGAGAGTACATGCACAGGCGCGTGTGCGCACATATACAACACACACACACATCTGTACAACACATGCAATATCATACACTCACACACCTCTTTATTTTATAAAGAAACAGGGATGGGATAGACAAGCTATATAAAATATTACTTTAATACACTTAGACACACAGCACGGAATTTGTCTGCCTTCCGTCCCTAGCGGGCCGGGCTCTTTCTGCTGTCACCTTGTTGTTGAGTGTGGGGGTTCACCTACAGGTGCCCAGGCTCGTGCTCCCCTGTCCTCTCAGGGCCTCTGTTCTGGCTTCCCTTTCTGGTCTACCTCCAAGCTCCTTACCTCCCTGATACTTTTAATGCATCACACCCAACTTTTTAATGCATCCCAAGTCAACCATGGATGAGTGTGGGTTCATGTGTGCCTGAGTGTCTGTACTTGTATGCATGTAGATGTGCGTGTATGTTCCTGTGCAGGCAAGTGCCTACATGCACATGTGTATGTAAATGTATGCACATGTACATGTTGAGGAGCTGGCCAGCCTGGCTAGTGGGCGATTGCGTGCCAGGCTCTCGGCGTGGCTTGGGCCGCTCCGACTGAGTGGGGATCTAAGCCACCGCTTCTTGGGTTGGAGTTTTAGCGGTGAGAGGGTTGGTCCAGGACCAAGTGGCTTCCTTCAGGCACTCATGGGAACGCTGACAGGAGTTGTTTTGCTTAAGGTTTTGGCTGCCGATAACCTTCTGCCCTCGTAGTGGGACCTGATGCCCAGCTTTTCAGCTGCTCTCCAACAAACTTGATGCAAGTCCTGCCTGGCAGATGGGTGAGTGTGAATTGCTCCACGCTTGCTTCTTCCGAAGAGAGGCTGATGAGCTCATCATCGGAGTTAGGGAGGTTCTCTTGGAAGCTAAGAGGGTCCCAAGAAGGTCCCGTGGGGATTCTAACTGTCTGCCCAGGCAATTTTATTCCTGCACTTGCCTCCTTTTCCATGGTGAGGAGAATATAGCAAAATTTTTAGTTCAAATTTAGAAGGAACTAATATAGCAGCTGTTTGGGGACAGACCTGCTTCCTCAGAAATCGCAAAGCGACAATAGGTAAGCATTTAGTGGCAGAATGATTAGCTCTCCCTATGAACTCAGACTCACTGTTTGAGGGTAAATGCTTCTAGGAGTGAAAAGAGTTGAAAGACTAAAGTGGAGATGTGACTTCCTCCTGCTGTAAGAGGAGGAAGTCCCGCGTCCCCTGTGGAGCATATGCCATGTCTTCCAGCAGTCAGGGTCTGGCGTAGCATTATAAGGCTTCTGGGGGACCAGCTTGGAAAGCTGTCTCATATGTGAGATACTGAAATTAATGTTGAAAGAGAACTTCCATTAAGCAAGCATGCATGGAGCAAGGGGAAATCATGTTTATATTTGTTTGTGTTGTTTGTCATATTTTAAATATTTTAAATAAACACATACATACCATACAAGTAAAAAATGCACATTGTTTTTGATCAGCGCCATTTTTACCATTGTATTTTGGCAAATAAAACATTGTCTACAGCCATAGTTTTTAATGGAGAGAGCCACACTGCCTATATATGGAGACAGTGTGGCAATGTCCTGTGTGTAGATTTCAGAAAATAGAATCTATTCTCTATTCTAAACCTTTTTTATTTTTTTATTTTAACATTTATCTGTTGTTGATTTTGTGCATTTACCATCAGCAGAGTAAGTTCCTGGGGCAGTTATGTGTCTTTTGAAGAAGCCCTGGTTCATAAGGTTTCATATTTACTGTAGAAATCTTCGCGTTTGCCATTGTCAGCCTGTGCTGATGGTAAATACATGCCTATTCAGCTGGTTTTCCCATTGAGAAACACAGAGCCAGTGGTATGCGCATATGTACTGCTTTAGCTGTGGTTTTCCAAGCTAATATATGTCTAAAACATGTGTTTTTTACTCTTGCATAGGGCGAACGCTATGTGCAGTGTGTCTTAGGCCTTATGGCTGGTTTATTGTTCTACATTGGGCCTCGCTCATTTAAGAGCTGATGTCCTGACACAGACCCAAACCACGAGCCCAGGGCCCATGCATGTAGTGGGAATCCAAATAATTCAATTTGAATTAATAATTTGTTCTTTTATGTGACAATAAACAATCACATTAAGCTCATCTGTGAGATTTCTGTGTCAAACCTTAGCTATTCCATTAGCTGTTGTCTTTGAGGTTCAGTCAATTACAGCCCTTGGTTTGGCGGAAGTTTAACGTGTAGTAACTTTTTGGCCGAGGTGCACATATACAGCACAGCAAACACTACAAGCTTTCTAGTGTTCACTGTGTTTTTAAATTTTCACTGTAAACTTTCACTATAATCATTTCGATGATTTCAATTGTCAATCTCTACTGATATTAAGGTATAAGGTAGATGGTAACTGAAACTCTCACTACATCATAAGGTGAAACAGAACATTTTGAACTGTAGAGGTGTAGGCAGACCAATAAAGCTGGATTACTCAAACACATGTGAATGAAACAAAACACAACTCTGGGTATGTTTTTGTAGAAGTAACAACACTATAACATGGGTTAAAGTTGTCTAATCATATAATGTAGTTTGTCATGTCGTTTTTATATTATATGTGTATTATATTGTCTTTTATGCAAACTACAACATCAACTGACACCATACCTTCTGGGCTTTGCTGGGACCCTCATCACTGGAAGAGCTGAGGGCAGGGTCAGCTTCTACCCGGGGCTCTATGGACTCTGTGGCTCTGGTTTCTGCCTTGGTTTTAAGGAGGTTGCTGGTCTTCTTGGAATTGGTTTCTTCATCAGAGGAGAGGTTCCGGTCACTCAGATTTCCTGCCAATTCACTCAGCTTCCTGCGCAGTTTCTCCTCCTCTGTCTGATTAAAGACCAGTGAGAAAAAATTTACTGCTCATCTCGAAAACTGAAATGAGCGAAGGGTCTGGCTGCTGTCCTCAAATCTGAGGACTCTCACGTGACTCACCTCCATCCACAGGTCCCTAAAAGTAAACAAACAGCGACCATGCCAAAAGACTGGCTGCTATTTTTATCACAGTGTTTTAAAAGTTGACATTGTTTTACACTAAAGACAAGTCCATACCCCTTTCCTAATCTTAACCATTACAGACGTGCCTAATGTTAACCAGGCACAAGGCCTGTGGCAGCACATTCACAAACAAATGAAATGAAATCTGATTTGAAATTAGTTTCATCACCTTTAATGACCTTGAACAGAAAATTAACTATTCTGAAGGACATGTGGGTGGAGGTGCATCCTGGTGGAGGTCTGCGGAATAGAGTTAGAGTACTCTGGATGGAGGTCAGCAGCCTGACTCTTGTAAAGAGCAGAGCCTTGTCAGTCTTAGATGGAAGTGCTACAGAGCACTACAGTGGATGCCCAGGATGTGTTGGACAGAGTAGATTGTAAACAGCGTGGCACAATTCCCAAAATCCTACAGATTAAACAATCAGTGAAAGGATGCAGAGCAGATTTTGCAAACAATGCTGACACACATTCTTAGTGAGAGGATCGGATCGGAATTTCAATATTGAGATACTGAAGAACAGAGTAGACTACCTGCAGGATAAAGCACACCCTGCCTCAGAAGAGGTTCTCAGTAGAATAAAGGAGTTTACACAGAATGCACAGTTAGCATAACACAAAAACAGTGAGATCCCCACGACCCGGCAGCGGATAAGCGGACGAAAATGGATGGATGGAGTGAGAAACAGCAGATCAAGAAATCTGGGACTCATATTATGCTAGTAGTTTCATACCCAGAATTGTGTTTTGTTTCATTCACACATTTAACACACAAACTCTGCATGTTTTGGCTGAGTTCTTCTCTAAAACAGAAAACACCTTGTGAGGCCATGTGGTAATGCAAGAAGTGCTCCACTGTGTTTTTATACTCTAATACACCGTCACTAGAATCATTTGGATAATTTCAGCCCTGGCTGTTAATTTGAAAACTGCCAAGTTTCAGATGTAACAGGGCATTTTGAACTTGAGATGTAGACAGACTAATAAAGGGTGAGTGTGAATGAAACATAACAACTCTGGGTATGTTTTAATGATGTAACAATATTTTAACATGTCTTGCTTAATAAAAGACCTTTAAGTCACAAACAACTTTACATTGTTTCATCAAGGTACACTTGTACACTTGTGTGTAGCATCCCTGTATTATTTTAGTCATCTTGGTCCTACCTGGTCATCAGGGCCTATCTTCTCCTCCAGGCGAGTCAGCAGATTCTCAATGGCATACATGCGCTTGTTGAGTTCAGTTATCTGCAACAAAACAGCCCATAAAGACATTATGATCTGAGACTCTCTCTCTCTCTCTCTTTCTCTCTCTCTCTCTCTCTCTCTCTCTCTCTCTCTCTCTCTCTCTCTCTCTCTCTCTCTCTCTCTTCTCTCTCTCTCTCTTCTCTCTCTCTCTCTCTCTCTCTCTCTTCTCTCTCTTCTCTCTCTCTCTCTCTCTCTCTCTCTCTCTCTCTCTCTTTCTCTCTCTTCTCTCTCTCTTTCTCTCTCTTTCTCTCTCTTCATATATATATCTTTGTTTTTCCTTTTCCTGGACTTGTCATTTTCCTTGGTTTAGTGCCCACTTTGGGTATTGGCACTTCTTTATAGTGTTATGGATGTGTCTGTTTTCAACATTTTAACATGTGTTCTGTTTCAACATTATAACAGAAGAACAAGACAAGCAAGAGTGCTTGTCTTGTTCTTCTGTTATAATATTGAATCTGTTAAATAATGTTCTTACAACATAGACTTTGTGGGCTATGTAATGTTTTGATATCCATGAAAGGTATTGGTCAGTGTGAGTTCATTTTCTGTGTATTTTTATTTTGATGCTGCCATCATCCCTGTGTGTAATATTCATGTTCAGAAAGTTGACTGCATTTATTTGCTTCTTCTTTGTGTGTAAATTGGATATTTGCTGTGCTGCCTGGTGAGTTTAGGTGGTTTAAGTGGTTCCTGTGTGTGTCCCTTTTTGATTTTTTCCAGCATGTTGTCCTTTTCCACATAGTGAGCCCACATTTTGTTGGTGCTGTGCTTATAGCCTTCTCTTCCAGGTTCTCCATAAAGAACTCACTCGTGATGCATTTTTCACGGTTGGCCAGCAGGGGCGCAAAGACTCCCCCAAAAAATAGTTGAACGATGTTAAATGATTACACACACATGCTTGTGCTGAAATTTGAATCACTAATGCCTGATCATGGCCTGAATATAATATACTATAAAGCATATGGAAAGTGAGCACTATAGTGCCCCCTACCATAGACATTAACATCAACAATTTTGGACTTGTACCAAATTCAGGGATTAAATTCTACCCATGATTGTGAGCAGAAAAAACATATTACAGATATTGGCCATTTTTCACAGTTGGCCAGCAGGGACGTAATAACTCCTCAGAAAAATTAAAGGTGCATTATGTAATTTTTGTAATGGATGAGCTGTTGGTCTGGCCAGCTGTTGGGAAGAGGGCATGTTGTATCGGGGAGGTCGCAAGTCTTTGGCGGTCACGTGGGAGGGGAGGGCGCACCGGAGCGAGGGCCACTATCACCGCGAGCGGCTTTAATTTTTCTATTATTATTCAATGATTTTTCTACTAATGATTAATATTTCATTATTATTATCATTACACTCTATGTTGACTGTATTTGTTTTTTGAATTATGGTTGTTTGAGTGCACTGTTTCTTTATGACCTGTTACCCTTTGGTGCTTGCTACACCCTATTTAAGATGGCCACCTGAGCTCTCATTCTGTTTGCCTGACAAAGGCCTAGTGCCGAAATGTTCCACGGTTTGTCCTAATAAATCTCACAATTTGCAAGTAAGATGGTGTGCAGGATCTTTCTCTATGTTCTAGGGCTGCTCCCCCTCCTCCGATGCACCCGTCTCTAGTAAATGATGTGCAAAGTTCTCATTCTTTTATAAGGATAAATGTACTAAAATTGCCCTTAGGTCTGGAAGGGTTAAATCAAGTTTTTTATGTAAGGCTTTCAATAAATAAGGTATTCAAAATAAATTACTGGAAAACCAAATGAACCTCACTGGACTAATAAAAAGTTTCAGACATTTATACTACTCATAAAATTTTGTTTTGTAGGTTTTTTTTGTCTGTTATTTGGATAAACCAGAATCTGTGCATTATTTCATGTTTTGGCTGTCCTATTACGTTTATTCTTATATTTAAAAAGAAACTAAATAAACATTCTAAACATTTGGTACATGACTAATTCTGAGAAAATAACAACAGAACAGAATTATCATACATGAAGAGCATAAAGGGGGCTGACATTCCTTTGGTCTGGGGTCTACGTGGTTATGGAGGTCAGGAAGAACAGCTGCTGTGTCTTGTCCCTAGTCTTAGCGCTAGCGCAAGTGCGAGGCATGGAATTCTAAACAGGAGGTGTGCAGTGCCTGAATCTCAGATGGAGTGGAGCAGACTGAGAGAGTGGTGTGGCGCGTTTAGTGAATTGCTTGAATCGTAAAAATAAATATCAAACGAGTCCGCTGAAAAGCAACATGTAACATGCTCAAGGCTTCTTATATTTGGAAATATATGAGGATGATAAATGCTTAACATTCATAACATCTTCGTGTGCTGTGCAGGAGTCGTCCGGATGCCCTCCCACAGCAGAGCATAGCCCCTCGCCCGCTCCCTGTATCGGCTCAGCTCTGATCTTGAGTTTGGTTTGATCTGGATGTGTGCAAGAACTGCTCATTCACATGTGGCCGTTTACAGCGACGTCTTAAAGTCTGTTTTCTTACTCTATCTGCTGTTCTAATGCCGCCATGTCAGATTTCCTTACATTCTCACGACCGGACTCTGCGCATGCATTCACTGACAGCTCAGGGCTGTGACAGCGGAGCAGACGCACGTCTTGTCTGCGCGTAAAGCGGTAACATCAGAAACATTTATAAAACAATAAACGTATTCCATAATCCGCGAGACATCCACCAGTGTGGGACCAAATGCAGTAGACCCGAGAGATGAGAATGTGAGCGGTCAGCGGGAGCAGAGGTGGACACTTGTACCTCAGGTGAGTCTGTGGGAGTGGACTGTGGGACAGACGGGAGCGGGAGTGAGAAAGCAGTGGGTCTGCTGTGGGATGGGAGCATGAGGCAGACACTGGCCTTAAACTAACGCAGAGGAAACTATAAAAAGGTTCATGGGCGCGCGTGCATGGGCTTACAGTGGTGCACGTGCATGAGAGGAGCGCACATGCTCGTGGAGTATTTGGAACACAAATCCAGTCTGTTCTGTCATGGCCCAAAAATGGCACATGGCACAAAATTCTCTATTCCCTGCACCTCTGCTGGTATGTTCTTGCATCGTGAGGGTCCGGAGCTGGTTTATTGTCACATATAACTTTTCCTCAATCCCCTCTGTGCTGCCTGATAATGAGGCAAAGATTACAGACTTTACCCACATGGGCAGTGCTTTTAAATGCCACAGTGGTCACAGATTGGTTCAGATGCCGTCACCATATATGTACTTGTACTGTCCCACCCCAACCTCCAGCAGAGAAGTACAGCCCAACCTGTACATGCCCACTTGCGCTTAGTGCTAAAACTGGGGGCAAGATACGGCCCTATTAGGCCGGGAGCCAGGTCCACCCCTCAGGATGTTTTTTGTTACCTTTTTTTCACTATTAATTCCTGTTATATTATATCTTGGCCATAACGAGTTGATAGGGACCAACCCCAACTCGGCCCCGTTTGGTCTCAGGGCCCAAAAAACACACTTTTTAAGAAAAGCTATTTGCGAAATTATGTAACTGTAAATATTAAGGTACTGAAACCGCATACATGGTCAAATAACCCTAAAATTTGGCATGGTGTATCCTGACACATGGGGGAAACTAGCAGAAAAATATTTTGGGGCTTGTTCCCTTTCTACTGTCAAATATCACCCTCAACATATCCTAAAAGACTAAAAAATGTCTGTCCGCCTGACAAATTGTCATCAAAAGTGATCATTTTCAAGCATTTTATTGCATATATCACTGCCTCAAATGTACATAAAAAACTTCCCATGTTCATAAACTTCAATTTAAGCCCAAGATGACCTTTGTATCTAGAGGGAAACACCTGCTATGACCAAAGTTCTTCACTGTACCTCAAATCGGCAGGAGGCAGAACTTTCAGGCTTTACCATTACTTATGGGATCAAGCAGGATTTTTTTAATAGAAACAATATTTGAAAAGAGTTGACTTAAGTACTGCTGTACTATATGAAGTGAATTACATTAAAAGTGAATAATATTAATTACATTAATAGTGAATAATATTAAAACTCAAGGTCAGAGTGCAAGATAAAACTATGGTAACCAGGTTACACATACAAACACACACAACCAACCAACATCCTGACCCTTCATGCAACATCCCATCAAAAGTTATTTTCCAAAGACAATTGTGAGAGAAGCTGATAATTTTTTCTGGTTATAAGAAGAGATTGAGTCTATTGGGAGATTGGTGTCCTTTTCTAGGCGTCCACGACTCCTAGACTGAACATTAACTATTGTCAGATTGTGAGATAACAACCAACCAAAGTAGATGTGGGAGACAAAGTATGGTGTGTGTGTGTGTGTGTGCGTGCACATGTCTGTGCGTGTGTGTGCGTGCACATGTCTGTGTGTGTGTGCATACACATGTCTGTGCATGTGTGTGCGTGCACATGTCTGTGCGTGTGTGTGCGTGCACATGTCTGTGTGTGTGTGTGTGTGCGTGCACATGTCTGTGCCTGATTTCATCAATAAGATCAGTTAAGTGTCTGTTTGAGGCTAAACTTCAATGAAATTGGAAACATTGGGTCTCAGTTCATGTATATTTACACATTGAATACTGCACATTATTTCATTGTTGTAATGAATAAATACACTGATTTTCAGATGGTGTAATGCAACAATATACTACTGAAAGCAGACAACATGCCAAAGAAACGATGAAATGATGAACTGGACAGCTGGTCAGAGTTCTTCAAAGCAGAAACCTCCACCTCAGCATCTCTGCAAACCTACAGCCTACATGGTTACAAGGGACAGTAAATGACAAGTTCATACTTTTGTCTTCTAAGACTGATCCACTGAGTGCATTTACTGCGATCCATGATATAAAAAAGAAACTTCGCACACAAACATTTGATTGTGCTGGTTAGCAAGATGTTGTTGAATCAGTTACTGATGAATTGTCTTTGGATTGTGGCTACCATAAAAGCTGCCAACACATGTTTTTTCCAAAATGCTAACAATGCTTTAAGCAAGTGAAGAAAA